GAATCGGTGATTTTGTCATACCGCTCTTTAAGATCGATCCAAACAAGGTGGGCACTCTGGTAGAAAACAACTCCATTGGCAATTTCTTTAGAGAGCGAATTCAAGATCCATGAGAGTACTACGGCATTACATCGCTCCCATTGATCTTGAAGCTCTGGTTCTTGTGATTCTTTGAGGCAGGTTCCATCAATGAAGCCCAATTTTTGTTTCCCTTTGAGCGTGATTTGCATAGCACGACTCCAAACATTATAATTCTCACTACCGGTGAGAATTTGGGAAATAATGGCCGTACCCTATGTATCTGACGGATGGAGATACAGAGGGTGAGTGAAACTCAGACTAGCAGCCGGCGACTTACTCTTCTTGCTTTCCGACATGCCTTAAACAACGGAACAGTAGGGAACGGTTTCTCAGATGCTCCAGGACGCCCGACTCCGTCAATAAGGTTGAAACCCTTACAAGCCCTAGACCCTGAAACTCTTTCTCGGGCTAACGTTCTTGGGTTGGGTGACGACGAGGCTTTGATGCCATGTTGAACGTGGCCCAGGAAAATTGAGAGAACAAAAAATTATCATTCAACTGAAAAAAACTCATACATTCTCTAATCTATTTACAAGCTAATCGGTCCACATATATAGACCTCATAACTGATACAGGAAATGGGCTTTGAGAATAAGCCCAATAACAATAACTTAAGCCCAAAACAGAACAAAGAAGGAATTCTAACACCCCACAAAGGGATAATTCTAATATACTCCTCTGGTCCTATTTATAGGGCAGAGAGAGAAGGTTTTTTTTGGTCCTATTTATAGGGCACCTCATTAACTTTTTACTATGATTTTACCATATTGTCCTTCATTTATTATAATGTAGATAGTTACTTTTTTGAAAAAGGTATATATTAAATAGGGGTAAAGTTGGAAAGTTGCTATATTTTAATGAGGAGTTAATGCAGTTTAAGGTTTTTCTTGGTCTGTGTGAAACTTGTTGGAAGTGCCTTATAAATAGGACCAGAGGAGTACATGATTAAAGAATATATTTAGAAAAATCCACACATATATGTTATAATTAACCAACTTAGTTAATTTTTTTAATCTCTTTAAATTACTTATCCAATTCTGACACCAGGTCCATCAAGAGGAAAATTGACTCCCTTATTCTAAATATAGTATTAAATTTGTTTGTCAAATTTTGTTCTACAACATATCTCAATAGAAGGTAATGATCTTTTCAATTTTGTAATAATAATTTTTGGGTTAATATAATTTTTAGTTCTTTGGTTTCTAAACTTGGGAGCCCTAAGATTTTCACTTAAAATACCAAATTACTTAAACAAAAATAGTATGCCTTTTCAAATCTATAATAGATTCTTTAAATTAATCTTTGAAAGTACACGACTTTTTGAGACAAAACATGATAAATTTTTTGTTATCCAAAATGAAACAATATGGAGAAAAAGTCAAATAAATTTAATTTAATGAATGCAAATGTCATAATAAATATAAGATGATTTTTCAGGAGACTACTATTTTTAAGAAAATATTTAACAAATTATTTTTTTATTTAAATGGTGCAGATTTATCTTGCATATATTGTCGCACTCGCTGATTAATAGCGCATATAGACATTTTATCCCTCCCCCCTCCCCAACAAAAAAAAGAAGAAGTGAAACTTGAGATAAATTGCCTTGCAAATTTGAAATAAGATAAGAAATCCTTTATCCTCCATTATTTTAAAATTAAACAAAAATAATATGGAAATGTAGAAAAAGGGGTTATATATGAAGAATGCCAATGTACTGCATCTTTTAATTTTGATAATTAACATGCATGTATTCAATAATATTTAGAAGTAAAATTAAAGAGACTTATAACTTAAGTAGATAGTAAATTGAAAGATTAAATTCAATAAGAAGTTATTTGAAGGAATTAAAACTAAACTATTGGTCTTGGTTTTTCAAAATAATTAAAATATTGATTGGATATTTCAAATTGTAAATTAGTCAATTTAATCTGTCACCAAATTTCTTAATTGTTTTCACCAAAAACGCTATCTAATGTTACCTTACCTTCCACAACTATGAGCAACTTTGACACCCCTGCATCATAACCAGGGAAAAAAGAACCAAGTGAATGAAAATCCATTAAAATTTAATTACATTATGTTTATCTCGACTGATTAATTCAGGCCAACAAATTGTTAAATCTGATTTCTGTTAATGATACATCATTGATTAAGTGGCGATTCGGGAGAACATACACACATTAATTATCTAATACTACCTCGGGTTCTTAGTTTGTATAGAAAGTTAGTTGGGAGTTAAATTTGATTATAAATATAAGATTTCAATATATTTTGATTCTCAATTTTCTCAAAATATCTCTGTTGATCGTAAAATTTTTTTACTAAAATATAATTGAAATAACTTAATGTACATGATCAAAGAGGATAGTTTATAAATACCAAAATACATTTGTGACAAATAATTAACTTAACTAATTTTTTTAATATCTCCAAATTATTTATCTAATTCTAATATTAAGGATAGTATATAGTTAAAATTTTTTTAATTTTTCTCAATTTAAGAACTAGAATTAAATTCATTTCTTATAATTTAGAAATAGTACAGTTAAATCTTAAACAAAATTCAAGGCAAAAGAATCTTAAACAATTTTTTTTAAAAAAAATACATTGTGAACTTGAGATTTTTAGTTACAAATAATGCAATCTTTCAATTAATAAATAAAAACTTAATATATTTACAAGACCTTGGATCAATTTAAACGTATTTATTGGTATCCTATTATTCAGTGGCCGATGTTTGAGAGTTCAAAATCTCCCAATTTGATCATTTTTGGGCAAAGCGAAGAAGATAGGATCCAATAATCTGATTGAAACAGAAACAGATACTTACGGCAATTGGACAATATTCCCAAGGGGGTAACGCATTCCGGAGGTAGACATTGCAGACGTTTATTTTCAGGGCTGAAATCGCAGCTGGTGCCCTTTGGACAACGAAGATCAGCACAGGCTCGTGGCAACCATGAAAGCTGAAATCCATAGGAAAGCACCTTGTGAATGTTAGCACACGACTTATTTCCACCAGGCACCAATGACTCCCAATCTGAGGCAATGAAAGTCACCGATATCAGACGACACTGAGGTTTAAACTGGAGAGCCAGCAAGTCTCCAGCCACAGCATAAAGATGGCCTCCTTGCCAATTCACGCACAGAGCCGTATCCACGTACGCTGCGTCGTCCCTCACTGCATCGCTGCAGTTCAGGTACCCCACCATCTCGTTTAATATAGATTCAGTTCCGTTGCTCATACAACGCGACAAGAGACACTAAGTAGTACTCGAAATTGGATAGGGATAAGGGATAGAGAGGTAGGGAGTTGTTAGTACCCTCCTGAATGCCTTCATCTACGAGTCGGATTGTGTAGTTGTCGTAGTTTATTCCCAGCACCCGGTATTTTCCATCAGGTAAACTAAGGTAAGTGACGTTGTCATCACAGACGAGCTCGTAGATCCGATCGCCGCAGTTAGGCGGGTCATCTGGTAGTCGAAATGGACGTCCGATGTTTGTGATGTTGCCGCACCGAGACGGAACGCAGAACTGGGGGTGCTCTCGTGACTTCGATAGTCCGTACGGTAGATTCGTAAGTCCGTACAGTAGAAGCAGGGTAACCAACAATGGGTGCCAACACCTCAAGCCTTTCTCCCTGTCCATCGTTCAGACTTCAGAATGATGTCCAGTTGCTCCACCTCTTGATTCTGAGCTTCAATCACTTACTTTCCTTGTGATTAAACGCAGCTCCATCTGCCTTTTCCTTTTTCCAGTTCCACGCGGCTAACTTGTAGTTTGGTCCAAAGTTGACTTCACTTTTTGACTAATGACTTCTCTTTACAATTCCTTTGACCGCCTTTCTCTCTGAATATTGATGATATTTCCTTGCATCTTCCTTCGCCTGCTGTATGATTTAACTGGGACGATATGACTAACTGTTATGTTCCTCCATTTTCCCTCAGATTAGGAAATGCAAATTCAATAATTTTTTCTGGAAATTTAAAAGAGATTGATAATTAAATTAAAAAGAAATCTCGGGTCAATCCGAAGCCGTAGCTTTCAGTAAGGAGCCCCAAAGGCCACGGCAAACAATTTGGGTCCACAGTCACCTTCGAACTTGCATCCTACTTCCCCTGCTTCCACTTTGAATGAGATATACGACGTTTCTCCTAACAATTACTCCTATTCAAATAGGTAGATAGGAATCTCAATCCAAGCTTCAGATTCAAAAGGAAATCCTTTGGTTACAATGCTTTCGCATCGCAGATTTTGGTTGTTGGTGATATTGCATGTATGGGTGCGCCTTCTGAAACAAGGGAATGGTGAGAACCACCAGCAGGTGCCTCATACTGAAACTCTTCCGTTCCATCTCAATGAAAATGGGACCATGGTTGAGTTTCCGTCTATTCCTGCTCTTCAAGGAGTCAGTCTCGGTGTCGATTTTATAGTCAATGAATCCCATATCTTACAAGTAAATGATCCAGAGGAATGTCTTCCCATGCTCTTTCTCCAACGCCGTCTCTACAATTCATCAAGTATTTATCCTCTAGAGTATGATACTGACAATATGACCGAAAATATTACTTTCTTCAATTGTTCTTCGGCTGTTTCGGGATATACGGGCAAGTCCTGCCCAATTCTTGCCCTTGGCTCTTATGACAGTGTCCTGTCCCGGGACCTACTTTCCTGCGCCATGATGTTTCGGTTAGATTCGCCCATACCGGTAGATTGTCTTCAGTTGAACTTCTTACCACTCAAATGGATTCAACTAAGAGTTGAAAAGCATAAAACCAGCAAGATGCCCAGAATTGTTTTGCCCGGAACAGGTGAGACGTTAATAGGCTTTTCCTTTTCCATTTTTCCCCCCTAAAAAATATAATTCATTAGATTCTGGCTTGGATTGAAATTGAATGTTCATTTGTTGTGCTCGCATGACTCTAGGTTCGATTGTGCTGGTTTTGCTGTCGGTCGCGTGCGTTTACACATGTCGCTACTTCAAGAAGAAAGGAGATGATCAAGCAAGACTTGAGAAGTTTTTGAAGAATTACGAGGCACTTAAACCTACCAGATTCTCTTTCGCTGATATCAAAAGAATCACACACAGTTTCAAGGATAAATTAGGTGAAGGTTCTCACGGAACAGTCTTTAAAGGTAAGCTATCTGCTGAAATTCAAGTTGCTGTCAAAGTACTCAATAATTCAGATAATGATGGACAAGATTTCATTAACGAAATGGGGACAATGGGCCAAATTCATCACATCAATGTTGTTCGTTTGTGGGGATTTTGTGCTGATGGTTTTCATCGAGCTCTTGTTTATGACTTTTTCCCAAAAGGCTCCCTCCAAAAGTTCATATTTTCCCAAGATAACAGAGAAAATTTCCTCGGGTGGTCGAAGCTGCAACAGATTGCTCTTGGCATCGCAAAGGGGATTGAATATCTTCACCAAGGCTGTGATTATAGAATTCTCCATTTTGATATCAATCCTCACAATGTGTTGTTAGATGACAAGTTCACTCCTAAAATTTCTGATTTTGGTCTAGCTAAATTGTGTTCTAAAAATCAAAGTATGGTGTCAATGACAATAGCAAGAGGAACTTTAGGATATATTGCACCTGAAGTCTTTTTTCCAAATTTTGGCCATGTGTCATACAAATCAGATATTTATAGTTATGGGATGCTACTCTTGGAAATGATCAGCGGAAGGAAAAATGTTGATACAAACAAAGAAACTTTTCAAGTTCTATATCCAGAATGGATTCATAATTTGATCAAAGGAGAAAATATGAGTATTTCTATAGAAGATGAAGTTGACATTAGAATTGCTAAAAAACTGGCAATTGTAGGACTTTGGTGCATTCAGTGGCAATCAATAAATCGTCCATCCATGAAAACAGTGGTACAGATGTTGGAAGGAGAAGTAGATAAACTAAAGGTGCCTCCAACTCTAGTTGACTTGACTGCTTCAACCAATACAAGTACTATTATTCCTGCAAGGCATTTGAATTTAGAGTCATGAATATGTACGTTGGGTTGCCAAGTATATATAGCTTTTACTTTTATTGAATGTATTTTGTAAAACTTTTGAATCCTTTTATTACCAATGTGCATGTAGAACACTCATCCATGTATCCCAATAGAAAGAGATCTCAGGACTTTCAAAACAAGTTAGAAGGATATGATAAATTGCCAAAAGCAAGAACAAGTTAAAAAGGCATAAAATTTGAAAATGATATCGTAAACATATGCCTCCGAGTTTTCCAAAAAAAAAAACTGCAGTGCAACATTTCTGCTGGTAGCATGGTTTTGCTTCACCACTGGGATATGATGTAGGTTGAGCAACTTCTCTCAGATATGTTTGTTTGTGTCTACAGAAATGAATGGAGAGAAGTGGTCAATTTGTGAGTTGTTTATTATTGTTTCATACGTTTCGAATATCTCACAATTAATTTGTCTATGGGTTTGGAAAGATCGAAGTGGTCAGAGCATAGAGTGGCAGCCAATGCATTAGACCATAGTAATTAAATATTGGTTTAATTAATTAGCTATTGAGTTGTATCGTAGGTTATTAATTTATCTCAATTAATTATTATATTTAATATTTTTTAATTTGTTTATTATATTTCTTTATTAACTATTTAAATATTATGAATTGTGATTTGTAATTAAAAAATATTGAATTATTAATTATTAAATTAATTAGTAATTACTTTTCTTATTTACTATTTTTAATTAATAATTCTTGGTTTCTAATATAAGCTGTTTATTTGATTTGTAATTATTACAAACCAAGGAAAAAAAAAACCGGACCGGACTGGCCGGTTCAACAGGAAAACCGGTGGACCGGTGGCCAGTCCGGTCTGGTTTGATTGAAAAATCGGTGTGAAACTGAACCGGTGGAAAACTGGCCCAACCGGTAAAAACCGGTGTTGAACCGGGTAATAACCGGTTGTGGTTCAACCGGTTTAATTTTTTTTTTTGCTGCCCAGTGAAGATAAATGACGTCGTCTGGTTTTGAAAGGAAAAAAAGAATTCTTTCTTCCTCACACTCAACTTGCCGTCTCGTGCTCTCCTATTCTGCAAATCGAAATCCCCTCTCCTCCTCCAAATCACTGAGATTCCTTCCTCTTTCTCCCAGACTCCAGTCGTTCCCCCCACCAAAATCGAGTTGGGTCGTATAATGGTGATGATCGGAGTGACGGGTGGGTAAGAAGAATCAAACTTGAGGAGTTTGCTAAGGCCAGTGTCCGGTGTGGGGCCAGCAAGAGTTTCGTCCCAGAGCTTGTGCAAAAAACCCATGATTCATTTCTTGCTTCTTAGTAGAACAACTCAAAGAGGACTAAACGATTGCGACAGGACGATGGAGAGAAGCAAAGTTGTTAGGAATCTAGATGCCAAGTGCTGCCTCCTATATTGATTATAATTTTGATTATAATGTTGATTTGATTCTTTTAGATTAATTTTATAAAGACGAGAAGGCTGCATTATTTGTTCCACTTTAATGTTGTGAATTAAATTTTATTATTTTAATGTGACCGGTCCGACCAGTAACCCTTAACCCAGTATTTCAACCGGTTTAGTTTTCGGTCTGGTTTTTTGTTCCTTGTTACAAACTATAAACCGTGCTCATAAAAAGAATCTCGAGCCCCATGATCCTATCTCATCCTAATAGCCTCCAGTAGTGCTGGTAATACCTGCGAATTGGCTCATGACGGGTTATAGGTTACTCAGTGTCGGTTGAAAAGGCCCGTTTACTAACAGGTTGGCTTTCAACTAACCCTAATCCACCACCAACCAATCAGAATTATATACCCTTTTTTCATTTTTTTTAATGTTAGCACTAAGTTATAAATAATCAAAAATTAAAACAATACAAATAATTTAAAATATTACAAACATTCAAACAAAATTACAACACATTAAAATACAAACAACTTATATGATTGTCCAAATACGATAAAACACAATTCAAACATTATTTTTTCCAATGAAATCAACATGCAACAATGAATAACCATTTTGAGCTAATTATCTCAAATAGTAATGAAGTTTAAAGTGGAAGCATTGTTTGAAGCTAGTTCAATGTTGACTTTGACAATAGTAGCAGCAACACCTTCCTTCGGCTCAGATTCATCTGCCACAAATAATTAAAAAAAAAGGGGAAAGAAATATATAATAATTAAAATAATGCAAACTATTCCTATTACATATAAATGAATAAATATAATTATATTACTAGATGGAAAATCCATAATCCAATTACGATTGCAGATAAGGGCTTGATTATTTTCTTGGAGAAGGAAACTTCGATACTTTGTGAAAACTCATGAACCAATGCTAAAAGTTGATTCATTAGCCACTGTAATGATTGATATACTAAGAATATCACATGCCATCTTTTAAAGACAAGGAAATCAAGTTGAGTTAGTCCTCTGATACCCCAATACATTCAATTTGCGAAACACACGAGGATTAAGTCTTGCTTCTTCCAAATAGAAATTAAGCTTGGATTTTTCCATTGTTGCACAATGATTGATCTGGCCACTAAGATAATCCTATATGATATAAATAAAGCATCAATAAAATGTTAATCAAATTGACATTAGTATAAGACATTTAAAAAATGGAAAATTTAAAACTTACACCAAAAGCAACAAAGAAATGGTCATTATCATCTGTATGTCCTGCAACATGAGTGGACTGGCTAGAAGATGATGTTGGTCCCAAGACATTGACATTACTACAACTTGATTCATCTCCACCTCCGATAGAAACTGAAGATGATGATCCCATACTTTTATACTCATTGGAAATATAGTATAACTTCGTCCTAATGCTTTGAATCTTGTCACTATAATTTATGACATCAAGTTGTGCATAAGTAAACTTTATGATGTCAAACTTCATCCGGGGATCAAGAATAATTGCAACTGCAAGTATAACATTGTAATTATATTCATTCCAATACTTGTCAAACTTGTCAACTATCCTCATAGCCATATCTTCAATAACTACCATTAAACACATGTTTTCTTTGCAATGATTCAATTTTTGAGATATGCATGAAATACATGTTAGAACTTGGATATGATGACTTAGAAATTAACCTCGTTATTGCTACAAATGGACTCAAGAATTTGTACATCTCCTCGGCTCTAGACCACTTTTCACCTGTTGGACAAAGATGATAATGGGTGTCATTGAAATCTAAGTTGGCAAATGAGGATGATATTTAATCACACTTTGAAGCATATGTGGAATTCCATCTAGTTGCAATATCTAACTTCAAAGCCACACCCCTAGAAGTGTCAAGACCCCTGACTTGGTCAATACATCTCTTCAAATTGATTGTTCTAGTCTCTAATGCCTTTACATATCTAATGCTTTCTCTAATTTTGTGCACAACTTCACTTGCCACCTTTAAGCCCTCTTGAATGATGAGATTTAGGATGTGGGCAAAACATCTAACATGGAAAAAAATCTTCATTGCATTTCAAGGCATTATTCAAATTCAACCTCTCTTTTAATACTTTTTGCATAGCATGATTTACTGAAGCATTGTTTACAGTAACAGAAAACACTTTATTCTTAATCCCCCATTCTACTAATAATTCATGCACCTTCTTAGCCAATTTTGTCCCAATGTGTGGAGGCCCCAAGTGCGTGAATGCAAGTATCTTGCTATGAAGATTCCATTTCTCATCAACAAAATGAGCAGTTAAGCAAATATATCCTTTGGATGTTATTGTTAAAAATTAGACTTAAATAAGACTTAGAAGTTAAAAATTAGATCTGGTTTTAAATATAAGACTTCTATGCAATTTATCTCTTAAATTCATAATATTTTCTTTAAAATATCCTTATTGATCGTAAGGAGTTCTTACAAAGGGATTATTCCAATATACATGATTAAAGAGGATAGTTTAGAAAAATCAACACATATATATTACAATTAACTAACTTAACTAATTTTTTTAATCTCTTTAAATTACTTATCTAATTCTAACACCAGGTCCATCAAGAGCAAAATTGACTCCCTTATTCTGTATATAGTATTAAATTTGCTTGTCAAATTTTGTTCTACAACATATCTCAATAGAAGGTAATGAATCTTTTCAATTTTGTAATAATAATTTTTGGGTTAATATAAATTTTGGTTCTTGAAATTTGAGTTGCTTTTGGCCTCAAATTTTAAACCCATAGTTTTAATCCCTAGAATTTAGTTTGTCTTCAAACATTAGTCCCTGAAAGTGTAACAGTGTTAACATTTGCTAAATGTTGTCAACTGCGTTAAATTGGTGATATGAAGTCACTCAATGGTATATAGCTAGATTTTGTGCAGGTAACATAAGAAAGAAAAAAGAACGGGGCCTCAAAATGCAATTATTAATTTAACCCTCTTTTTTCTCTTGCTCGTTTGAGGAGTTGGTCATGTTTTGAGAACTCATCCCTTTCTATATAACTGTTTTGTTATTTAAACAAAATCCAGCTAGTTGTCATCTGGTGAATTCACATCATCATTTTAATACGGTTTATGATATTTCAGCAGATTTTAATACTAATAAATCTTCAAGGACAAATGTTTTAAAACAGACTAAATTTCAGAGACTAAAACTATACGGGTTAGAAATTTGAGAGACTAAAACCAAAATTGACTCAAATTTCTGAGATAAAAAGTTATATTAACCATAATTTTGTAAGATAATTTTGTTTTGGTGAGGGGAACATTCATTATCATAACCGTAGTGATTACCGTTGTAAATAGTGAATTCTCAATAAAAAGAAATTAAAAATGGAATTCTCAATAGAAGTGCTTGACCAAAATAAGAATTTTAAATTTAAACCAGAAGGACAAGCGACTTGCCGCAAGGCACTTTGTGAATGACTTTGCTACTTCAAGCAATACAAGTACCATTATTCACCAGGACATTTGAATTTTGAGTTGGAAGTGATTCATGAGTTACAATAAATGCCCCCCCCAGAACATATATATGCTAGGTTTATAGAGATAGATAGATATATATATATATAACTTTTGTTGACAATAATTTAATGGATCTTTTTATTGTGAAAGAATAGCAATTTGTGTTTTCTGTTTCGCATAGTAATGTTTTTCATATCATCGTCAAATTAATGTAATGGATAAAATTAATATAATCATGTTTATAGTAAGATTTCGTTCTCTTTTTTCTCTTGTTTAATATTTAGCTTCCCGTTAGGATGATTTGAATTTTAAAGACATCTACTCGGACTTCGTCTTTGAATTGTGCAATAGATTATTTTTCAAATGACTCTTTCTATGAAAAAATGATTTTTTTTTTTATAATATTCAGTTGTTGGAGTCAGCAGTTTTCTTGTATAAATCAATATATATAACACAATTCATATTACATCGCATTATTTTAAACTTATAATTAATGTCACTCATTGTATTCTTTAAATTCAATGTAATACTTAGATGGCAGGGAGAAAAATTTCAAATTAATGCTTACTGTCCCACCTAATAATCAAGTACTCCCTCCAGTTCCATAGTATAATTAAAAAGTAGGTTAGAAGAAAATTATGATTCAAAATATAAGATATTATCAGGATAATTAATGTAATTTTTTTATTTTTATTCTTATTAAATATAGGAGAGAGATGAGAAATATGAGAGATAATAAAAGTGTACCATTAAAAGTAATTTTATTATTTTTTAGGCATAAAATTGAAAAAAAAATCATTTAATGACTAAAATTCTATTTATTAGTATATGAGAACAATTAACCAACTTTTCATATCATGAACTGGAGGGAGCAGAAGCTTATACATAAATCACAAGAGCATGATTCAAACAACACGTTTAATTATACTCTAATTTTTGGAGATGTAAGATTATCTCTTTTAATTTCTAGAGAACTTATTTAGTAAAAATGCTAGTCTTATAGGACTCAAGAATGAAAAGACCAGCCCATTTAAGCCCGCCTATACTTTTAATATTATCAATATATTTATATAATTATGGATCAATTTTTTATGGACAAGTCTTAAACTTAAGCAAGATAATTGAAAAGAATTAGATATCTTGGATTAGTAGAAGAACAATTAAAATCAAATTTCAATTCTTTTAACAATGCTAGTTGATATTTATAGCATTTCAACCATTATGGTAGCCAGTAAATCTTCTTTTATCATCGATTCACATGTCTTAACAAAGTACAAAAATTTCCTATTCTAACAAATGTTCAGGCTCTCATTTATACTCATAACTATTGCGTAACTTTACTTTAGATAAGGGTGATGAAGACAAAAACTTGATATTTTTATCATTGAAGAAGAGCCAACTTGTAGTAAAGAACAATCAAATATTGTTGATCTTGATCATAATAAGGAGAATGAAAATATGTTAATATTGTTAATCTTTAGTTGCTTGGTTTTAATCTTTTTACTTTCTGTGTTGCATTTGGTTTTGGCTTTTTTTTTTGGGTTTGGACAATAGATTATTGGCGTTTAATGTTTTTTCCATACGTCATTAGCTAGTTTCTTTTATTAATATTTTTAATTTGAATAAAAAAATTTAGAAGTTTTATTGATTTATTTTTTATTTCAAAATAATTTAAATTTTTAAAAAATAATATTAAAAGGCCAGCTCTTTTAGACCTTGAACCCACATACCCAAGGGTTGAGTTTTAATAATTACATGATTTCAAGGTATGTGGCATGTGAGTTTTAAAGGGCCGGGGCTTTACACCCTAACCCTTATTTACAGCTTTACCAAATATTCAAGCAATGTTGAAAAACATGGACAAATGTTTGTTTTGTAAGGAGGTGTTTAGGAAGCATTGGAAGCACTTTAAACAATTATTTTTATCTAAGTTGAAATAAAACTCTTCTCACATATTTATTTTGAATAATGTAAAATTAGTTTTAAAGTCATGATTTAGTTTTCATCCAAACACTTTTTAAATTTAGAAATATATTTCTATTGTGATAGGTTTCCTACACGGAGTTTGGAAAATTTGACATAATTGCTTTCATCGTCCTCATCCAATATCATGACTTTTTCTATGGATTCCAATTTTATTTATATTTCTTGTTAAAAATCATGAGTTTTTTTTTTTAATTTCTAGCTTGACTAACAACTCTTATGACCGTATTTAGGGGGGGCAAAAAACTTTTCACCCAAATATCACCATCACGTGGAAAATCAGAGACATTTGTTAACTTTTTTAGGCCTTTTTCAAAGTGATAATTGAACCTTTTGAGTATTTTGTTTATCTGATATAATTTCTAACTTACTCTATTTTGTAGGTCTAGACGTCCCTTTCTTGAAGGTCGAGCATTCTACACGCGGCTTGGAAAGCTTGGCATATTATTTATATTCTCTTCGTTGTCTGGTATCATAAAGTCTTGTGCCCCCAAGTTTTACACAATATTATGGTCCCTTTGTAACTTATAATTGTTGAGGGTCACATCTTGCACGCCTCAAGTTTTCCACCAAAGTATACATAGGTAATATAATATATATATATATATATATATATAATATTTTCTCCAAGCATACATAGGAGTTAGGACATCATTATGAGCCTTACATTATTAGGAAGCCTGTGAGATTTATAAATTGAAGTGGATTTTCCTCTTAATATGTTAGTCTTTTAAGATTAAGACTCATCACATGTATGAAAAAATATAATATATATAATTATATAAAGCATATATTTATATGTGCGCTTTATATGTATAATTTTTACTTTTTTTGGGAATAATCTGAAAGATTTGTAATGTAAGATTTCAAGTTCATTCCATAAATGAATCCTTTCATTATCCATGTAGCCACTTATGTTTTCTGTTTAGCATGGTAATATTTTTCATATCATTGTCAAATTAGATTAATTGATAAAATTATTGTCTGTGGTAAGATTTTTTTCTCTTTTTCTCTTCTTTAACTTTTCGCCATACGTTAGGAAAGGATGATTTGAATCTTAAAATCATTCATCCAGAAGATTCATCTTTTGAATTGAGTAATAATATATTATTATTCTCAAAATTACCCTTTCTATAATAAAATCAATTGTTTGTTGTAATATTCACTCGTTGGACTTAGCAGTTTTAATTTATTGGGTAAATCGATACAACACAATTCGTATTACGTCGCATTATTTAAAAATTATAAATAGTGTCACTACTCATTTCTTTAAATTCAATGTAATTAATACTTAAGGTCTTACTCAAATAATCAAGTAGAAACCTATGCAAAAAGCACACAAGAGCATAATTCACACAAAGTTTCATTTTGCTCTAATTTTTGGAGATGTATCATTATCTCTCTTTTAATTTTTTTTTTTTCATTTTAATTTGTGGAGAACTTATCCAATAAAGGGATATATTCTGTAAAATATAGGATATATAAAGGAATTAGAGGTATAGTCATTTGCTTCCATAGTCATTAGTCAAAGTTATAATTAACTTTGATGGATCTAATTTAATTCTATTTGGGGTCAACTTTATCATTAATCAATGTGGAAAATGTGACGTAGCTATTTTAATTGTCATCATCCAATATCATGACCTTTTTATGCGATACAAGAGGGAAATTACCAGATTCCAATTTCATTTATATTTATTGTTGAAAGTTATGATTTTCCCCCCATATATTTTCATCTTGGCTTACAAGCGGCTTTGATGAGCATATTTAAGGGAGAAAAGTTTTCAACCAAATATCACTGTCATGCGGAAAATTAGAGATACTTGTTTAACGTTTTAGTCTTCTGAAGGTACTAATAAAAATTTTAAATACTTTGTCTTTCTATTTTAGTTTCTAACTTATTTTACAGGTCAAGATGTCTCTTTCTTAAGGATGAGTATTTTTTTTTTTTAATAAGAGAAAAGTTTTGGTGAGTTGGATTTAGAACTTACTAAGAACAAAACATGCCTCTTGACTCATATATTTATGAGTGTCATAAATTCTCGTGCCCCCAAGTTTTATGGAATATTATGGCTCCTTTGTAACTTATTTTATGCAGCTTCCCTCCAAAATATGAAAATTGGCTAAGGAGTCAATTTTTATTCTAAACATAAAACTCTAATTTACTTTATTTTTTATATTTATTATTTTTTAGATTAATTTATCTAACTTATAAATTAATATATATAATCTAATATTTCACAAAAATTATTTTAGAAAAATCATCTTATATTTATTATATTTAATTAATTTATTTAACTTTCTTAATGTATTCAATTTCCAAATGAACTACAGCGCCATCTTGGAGGCCACAAGCTTTCCGCCAAATGTTGCTATATAAATGTGGAAAACTAGAGACGTTTATCTCCGTTCGTCATTGCTTAAAAGTAGTTGTAGGTTTTTCCATGCATTTTAATTTCAAGAGATATTATAATCCATTTCTAACTTGACTTAAAATTATTTAAGTCTATTTTTTGTTGGGATGAGTATTGTGTGGGTAATATGGAAGACTTCGTGTGTTTCTTTCCACCGGCGCAAATGCTAATTATATTTTTTTCAAATGTGAATGCACATTCCAGAAAACATGTGAATTGGAGACAATTATTTTCCATGTCGCTGTCAAATGTGAATGCTTTTTCCAAAGTCCAATAACTTCTTAATTTCCACCTCTGTTTAGCTAAGGAGTATTTTGCACGTCTAGATGTTTTTCAATTGTGGCTGAAAATTCATTTGAGTTCTTTTTTATTCTTTAACAAAAGATTACAAATTAAATGTAATTGTTCGAATTGACGAAAACATTTGGTTTCACATTTGAATTGTCATTCACGCCGAGTTATCTTCAGTGGCGTTGAATATTGATTTTGGCAAAGGACTTCCCAGTAGATTCTGGGAAACATGGGACGCGAAAATGTTGTTTAGATTTTTTGGCTCATTTAATTTTAAGATCGGGCTTACAAAATAAATCATAAAAAAATGTTACTCCTCCTGTCCTAAATATAATACCATTATACTAGTGTGTGTAAGGGTCTTATATTTAGGACTGGAGGAGTATTAATCTTCTAAATTTTGGCAAAAATTCAGTTAATCTCTCAAGTTTAAAAATGTAGTTTTTGTTCCTGTATGTTAACAAAATTAGTTTCATTTAACAGCGAATTCTACTCAACGAACTTAAATGATCACTCCAAATTTAAATGCTAGCAAAACGCGTTGCAATTTTTAATCTTTTAATATAATTATTTTTATAAATGATAAAATGTTTAATATTTTAGTATTTTTCATATTTGTCAAACATCTAATCATTCAAATGCTTAAATTTAAAGATATAAAAGTTTTAGGTTACAGAATTAAAATTTAAAGCATAACTTGTCAACATTTAATTGTAAAGTCATCATTTAAATTTGTTAATAAAGAAAAACTAAATATTTAATTAAGAGAAAGAAACCCATAGGTACCAAATTAAAAATTAAAAAGAAGAATAGGTACATCCAATATGGTTTTTATTATTTTTTATTTTTATCTCTATTTAACATATACACATTTCAAAGAAATAATTATCTACACTATAATAAATGAAAGACAAAATAGTATATTCATACTAAAAATATAATGGGATAGTTTATAAATAGGATCAAGAAAAACCTTCTATCTCTACCTTATAAATAGAATCAGAGTAGTATATAACATCAGTTTTATTACGTCTTTAAAAAAAATTACGAACGAAATTGTTGGAAATGAAAGTATGTCATTTCACATTTGAATTGTTATTCACGCCAAATTGTGTGGGACGATGGTATAGACTTTGGCCAAGAATCTCCCCCTACATTGCAGAAAACATGTGAATTGGAGACAATTGTTTTCCATGTCGCTGTCAAATGTGAATGTTTCTTCCAAAGTCCATTAACTTCTTGACTTCCAGCTCTATCTAGCTTAGGAGTATTTTGCACGTCTAGATGTTTTTCAATTGAGGCTGAAAATTCGTTTAAGTTCTTTTTTTTTCCTTTAACAAAAGATTAAAAATTAAATGTAATTGTTCAAATTAATGAAAACATTTTGTTTCATATTTTAATTACCACGTTATAAGGGACTAACTTTTTCCGTTATATCCAATCTTGTTGGTGTGTGGATATTAATTTTGAGCCTCATAAACTAAAAGCTCACAGTTCATCTATTTTGGACTAGTGTTATGCCCCAAACTTTGCTTCTTCTTTTTTTTTTTGGTACTAGAAACTTTGCATCTATTAACTGTTTTAAAACAAATAGGAATTGGGTTTAGTAGTTACAACATATTGAACTAATGTTTGAATTTTCATTGGAAGAGTTGTTTGTATTTGATATCCAATAATGTCTCAACTCATCACAAAAATGTAATATATAAATTGTCAATAGTTTTCGTGATAGTTATTAATTCTTACACTTTAAATTGTTAATGACTGCTATTTCAATTATGAATGCAAAATTTAAAAAAAAATGAAGATAATTTGGCAATTAAACAAATGGAATATCTTGCAATGAGGTCCTTTAAGATTTCAGAATAATTTGATGATTTCAAGTAACCTTTTTGTATTTAATTCTCCTGGGTGGGAGCTAATTGCAATTTTTCCCAAAACTAAACATTCAGGAAAAAAGGGATTTTTGCAGCTTGCATCCATAGATTCGTCATTTGTGGACCTATCCATGAGCGTGGGCCTGAGAAAATAACACGTCGCAGTGCATGTGTTTTGGGCTGACGTTATGCCCCAAACTCTACTTCTGTATTTTTTTTTGTTTTGTTTTTGAGACAAGAAGCTCTACTTCAATTGAATATTTTAAAGACCTTTCTCTTTTTCTCTCAAATATACTATCACCAAGAGCGGAAAAAACAAGAAGAAAAAAATCAAAAGAGATTGGGTCTAACAGAAATGATTAGTCTCTCACAATATATATTGAACCAATGTTCGAATCTATGTTAGGGAAAATACTCATATTTAGTGCTGATAGTATCTCAAATATGGTCACTTCCAATATAAAAATACTTATATGTTAAAAAAAAAAAAAAACAGGTGTGGGGGAGGAATTCTCTACCGAGAACCGAGGAAAGCATGTTGCAATTTGATTTTGTGATGGATTGTTCCATCGACGCCATGAACATGACAAAATTTACGATTAATAACATTGGTCGTATGGACATAACCTAAGTAAGTTACTGTGCCTATGGCAAGGGACTGAATTAAAAAGAGAATGAGCATAGACACCAATTCAAGGGACATGACCCTGCGTTCAAAAGCAACTACATAAACAGAGCGATTCGGTGGCAGTATTTCTCGGCCAACTCAAAACAATGGTTATTTAAAATTTTTTAGTGTTTAGCACATATTCATCTCCAAGTTACAATTATTATAAATTGATAGATTCTATATATTTGAAATGGTCAAGATTTGTATCGTTTGTTCATTCTGAGCTTTAACGTTGTTGTGTATCTGTTTGGAATGAGGGAAATAAAGGGAATGAGAGAGGAAGAAAAATTTTAATGAGTTCAATTTAAAAAATTGGAGAAATGAGTTAAAAACTTTAAATTAATTTTGTTTGCTTTTTAATCTTACATTTTTTCATCAAAATTTTTCCAATTAATTTCTGTAGCACGACATAAATGGAATAAAATAACTTGAAGATACCAAATAAAACTTAATGGTCCAAATGACTCCTTTTTCTAATGTAAAACCTCAGCTAAAGTTTCTCTGAATTTACTACCTCCAATCTTTAATATAAGATATCATTTGACTTTTTATTTTGGTATTAAATATAAGATTCAATTCACTATGTCTCTCATATTTATCTATTTTTTTTCCTAAAGTAGTCATTATAACAATGTTAGTTGTAGCCAATACACTGATTAGCAAGAATATTTCAGAAAAGATAATATATATTCATTACAAATAACTAATTTGATTAGTTTCTTTAATCTACTCAAATTAGTCAAATATCTTTTATATTAAAGATTAGAGGTAGTAACATAACATGAATCATCACATCATTATTACTAGCTGGACTACTATGAGAACGTAAACGGATAGTGGATTTTGTTAAGTCAGAGTCAAGTGTATCATCCAATACAACAGTCTCATTGGAAAATAGAGAAGGTTTTGGAGGCATTTCAAAACTTTCGACTTCATCTACTTCTGCATTTCTAATACTTTATTCATCGAAAGTGATTTGTTGGCTTTGATTGTATATACTATAGTGCCTTTATGAACATCTTTGTTAAATTTTTTTCCTTTAAGGTATCGTTAGTCACTAAATGTAAATACTTTTCCTAGCAAAAAATTTAAACCGTGATTTCTCACATTACGAGAGATTGGTTCTTTTCTAGCAAACTGAACACTCCTACGAAAGAACCGAAGAGTTTTGTCAATGAAAACCAAACTAAACCACCACAATATTTTTTTTTTTTTGGTACAACTGAAAATAAAATAAAAAAACTGGACTAAAGTGGGATTAATCCCACACAATCCTTCTCCACTAAGCTTCTCAGGCTGCTCGGGCACGTATCAAAATATGATGAGGTTGATAGTCCTCTTTTAGCCAATTTATCAGCAACTTCATTAGCATTTCTACTGATATAGCAGAGCTGCACTTCCCAGTCAAACTTCAATAACTCAAGTGTCTGCATCATTAACAAGCTGCAATACTGATTGTTCCTCCCCTGATTAATAGACTCAATCAGATTCTTTGCATCAGATTCAATAATAACACGTTTAAATCCAAAATCCCAAGCTAACTTCAAGCCCTTGAAAATAGCCCAAGTTTCAGCCTCTAAAACATTACACGACCCGAGTTGAAGCGAGAAACCCACAATCCAAATTCCATTATGGTCTCTAATGCATCCCCCACAGCCAGCTTTTTTCGAGCTATTTGACACAGCACCATCCACATTTACTTTAATCCATCCTTTTGATGGCTGCTTCCAAATAGTTGAGTTGTCCAACGGCTGTTCTCTCATGCCATAATGCAACTTTGTAGCAGCAAAAGTGAGGTCCGGCCATCTATCTCTGATTATAGCTACTGGATTAGCAGGTCTAACAAAAGTCTCATCAAAAGTTGCTTTATTCCTCCAGAGCCACAATTTCCAAACAGTAACTCCCCATGTCAGATTCCAATTATTATTTCTATCAGAACCCATATTTTCCTTGAGATTTAGAGCAATCCACTCTTTTAAAGTACCAGAATAAAAACTGTTCACCTGTTTGTTGTCTACCAACACATCCCACACTGATCTTGCATAGGCACAGTCTCTAAGAACATGTAGAATACTTTCAGCATTTTGAAAGCAATAAGAACACATAGGGGAACACTGAGACCATCTACTTCTCCATAGATTAGTAGGAAGTCTACCATGGAAAATTCTCCAAATAAACACCCGAATCCTTTCAGCACCTCTCCATTTCCAAATAAGCTTATAGATTGGACTATAGAGAGTTTGGGGATTCTCCTCCATCATAAAATAAGCACTCTTAATGCTGAACATACCAGTGCTTGAGTCTTTCCATACTAAAAAATCCTCCCCAGCAGAATCAAAAGGAGGCATTACTCCCTTAAGTTTTGTCAAAACCTCAGGCTTAACAATAGATTCCAGCTTATGAAAATCCCAGTTACCACAAATCATCCAGTCTGCCACCACGCTGCTGTCCTCTTCGATAGACAGAGGTCTTAAGCAGAGTTCTTTAACTTTCACATCATGATATAGCCATAAATCATTAAAAAAATTGACTGATTTCCCATTCCTCAGCTGCCACATAGATCCTTTCTCAATCAATTCTCGTTGTCTGCAAATAAATTTCCAAACACTGGAATCTCCTGGCCTAGCATCAAATAGATTTTCATCATTATGCATCATATACTTCTGAAACATTACATCAGCCCACAGACCTCTTTCCCCTATCATTAATTTCCAGGCTAACTTTGCACCACAAGCAGAATTCATCGAAGCAAGTTTCCTGAAACCCAGGCCTCCATAAGACTTAGGAAGAGTAACAGATTGCCAACCTATAGGATGATAGCCTTGCTCATCCCGGTTATGACCCCATATGAAGTCTCTTTGTAGTCTTTCCACCTCATCACAAATCTTCTTAGGGATTTGGGAAACTTGCATAGGATAAAGAGGAATAGAGCTCAATACAGACTTAGCCAAAGTGATGCGACCTGCAGTAGACAAGCATTCCGCTTTCCAATTGGCTAACTTGTTTCTCACCTGGTCAACTATATATTGAAACTTTGCTATAGGTTTTTTACTTTTTGTTAAGGGAAAACCAAGATACTTCCCTATTTCTGTTGACACTTTCATTTGTGTTGACTCTCTAATCCTTCTTCTAACATTTGCATCAACTTTAGGAGAGAAAAATAAGGAAGATTTATCTCTGTTAACTTTCTCGCCTGAAGCCTGAGAAAATTGATCCAAAACTTCCATCATGCAAGCAACTTGTTTCTCAGAAGCAACTCCAAAGAGCAATAAATCATCAGCAAACATTAGATGAGAGATAGAAAGGCCACCTTTGGAAATGGAAATAGCTCTCCACTTACCTTCATCAACTGCATCACAGATAAGATGGGATAACCTATCCATACAAAGAACAAAAAGAAAGGGGGAGATAGGGTCTCCTTGTCTAAGACCTCTCATAGGAGCAAAGTACTCAGTTGTTGATCCATTCCACAACACATTATAGGTTACAGAGGTTACACAATCCATAACAAGATTCACAAATTTATCATCAAAACCCACATCATACAGTACAGTGCGAAGGAAGTTCCAATTAAGCCTATCATAGGCTTTTTCCAGATCAACTTTCATTGCTATAAGCCCTCTCTTTCCTCTGGCTTTACTCATTACATGAAGAACTTCCTGACCAATGATAATGTTGTCCTGTATATGTCTTCCTTTGATGAAGCTGGACTGGAAAGGGGAAATTAAATCATTCATCACTGCTTTAAGTCTGTGGGTGATAACTTTAGTTAAGCATTTGTAATGCACTGAACAAAGAGAGATAGGCCTGAAGTGAGCAACTAGCTGAGGATTTTCTCTTTTTGGAATAAGAGAAATCAAGGTTTTGTTTGAGTCATCCACTTTTAGACTTCCCTGAAAAATGCCTTTGACAAAGCTACAAATAGAGGGGCCCAACACCTTCCAATTGTGTTGAAAAAAGATAGGGGAGAATCCGTCGAATCCGGGGGCTTTGTAGGGGCCCATAGCGAACAGCGCAGATTTAATCTCTTCATCAGTAGGCAAATTACTCATATCATTTATCAGATTGCGATCAACCTTAGGAAAATTGGCCCTCGTTTCTAGGTCATTATAGCTGGTGTCATTTGAAGAGAATAAAAGTTTGAAATAATCGACAACCATTTCTTTCAGTTCAGCATCATCATCCACCCAATTACCCTGTTCATTTTTCAGAGTAAGAATTTTATTCCATTTCCTCCTCTTTTGAGTTTTTAGATGATAATAACGAGTATTCCTATCTCCCTCAGTTAACCAATTTGATCTAGACTTTTGAAACCATTTGACTTCTTCCAACTTTAACACCTCCTCTAATTCCAACTGCAAGTTTGATTCAAGATCAGTAAGGAATTTTGATAGAGGATAGGCTGGAGATGTTTGAATACCTTCCAATCTAGCTAAAATATTCCGTTTCTTCAATTCTACAAAGCCAAAAACTTCCTTATTCCATACAAGGATGGAATCTTTAAAGTGAGACAAACTCCTATTAATATCATCATCACACTTCCAGGCATTTTCCACAAAATTATTGAAATTCTCATGCTCAATCCACATAGCTTCAAAACGAAAGGGTTTGTTTCCTCTAAATTTCAATCTTTCAGCATCAAGACACAAACTCAAAGGATTATGGTCAGAAAATTTTGTTCGAGCACATACCTTTATCAAATAATTTTGAAAAGAAGACATGAACATAGCATTGCCCAAGGCTCGATCTAGTCTCTCATACATCCGTGAGCACCCCATCATCTTTGGCCCTTTCCAAGTAAACTTAGGACCTTTAAATCCTAAATCTGTCAGCCTACACTCTTTAATTCGGTCATTAAACCAACTCATTCTATTGCTGTTTGGATGTCTTCCACCTATCCGTTCTGACTCCTCCGCAATGTCGTTAAAATCCCCAATCACCACCCATGGATCAGAGATACTTTGGGATAATAGTTTCAACTCCTCCCAAAGAATTTGCCGGAACTGTGAGTGGGGAATTGCATAAATGGCAGTAAGGAAAAAAGAAGGTTTCCCTGCGACTTTGCATTTTAAGTGTAGAAATTGTCTATCACTTTTATGAACTGAAATCTGAACAAAGTCACTCTTCCAAGCAACCGCTAGACCCCCTGACCGACCAGTACTTGGAACAGAGAAAAGACTGTCGAAGCCCAGTGAGTATAGACGCTGTAATTTTGAATCATCTCCACACTTTGTTTCTGAAAGCATAAGGACCGCAGGTTTTGAGTTTCCAAAAATAGCCTTCAGATTCCGTGTGAAGTTGTTACCACCCACCCCCCTAATATTCCAATACATTATTTGATCCATAAACATTAAAAAGAAAACGGATCCAGAGCCCAATTAACACGACCCAATAATTAGAATTGGGTTTCAGGTACCATAGGCCCATCACTTTGGGTTTCCTTCTCAAATTCATCACTAGATGGGTTTACCAGCATTGGCCCACATTGCTGTACCTCAGGCCCTTTGTCCATCTCTGAATTTTCACCCGGATCATGAGGGAGGGGTGCAGTATCTTCGATATAATCCATCTGCTCTTCCCCAATGTTCTCATTCGAGATATTATTATCTCCTTCACCAAAATTCCTTCGAGCTGAGCCCTCTTCTTCGGTTTCATCCAGTGTCAACATCAATAACTCGTTTGATCTCTTATGATTCACGAACATCTCACGAGATCTCTTTTCCTTCCTCCCCTGCTCTACCCGTTTAACGGCTTCTGTCACTTTCTCTGGGACCACCACTGCAGCCGTGCCATTTTGCTTGTTACGTCTCTTACTCGCCACATCTTTTGTCTCACGCACAAATCGTACATTAGTGGTGGTAGCCTTAGCAAATGGTACGTTCTCCAGGACCGAAGATGCAGGGATTGCATTATCCTCTATTTCTTTAGTTAAATTATATTGATTATTTTCCACGTCAGCTAGAATTTCGAACCTCGTCCCTGAGCTTGGTTGCCGGAAAGCTCCCCCTGCCTTCTCTTTCCCCCTCCTCTGTCGCCGGTTTTTCTGCACAACCTTCCAACTTCCTGATCATTATTC